TGTGTGGTGTGTGTGTGTTATCCCTAGAGGTCAGAGTTCAGACCCTGTGGATCAGCACTAATCACTAACTACTACTTCCTCTTCCAGGTCAGAGGTGTCACTTCCTGGTTTAGATAACAACACTGTTGGTCTCTTATTTAGTCACAAACCAAGCCCCTTATCCACCCCTAGCCTGTTGTCTCTTTCATATCTACACTGCCTAGGAGGTAGGGGTCGGTTTGGGATTGTGTAACAGTGTCAGACACACACACACACACACACACACAGAGCGAGAGAGGCCCTGCCACTGATGATGTAACACTCAGGGTCAAAGCGGAGCTCTATGGGTAACGTGTGACTCACTCCTCTGTGGCAGTAAAGGTCACTGTGACTCATCAAGTTCTCTGTGTGTGTGTGTGTGTGTGACTCTTCATCTGACTCAACACTCATATGAGTAGACTGACTGAAGGCCTTTTGACAACAGAAATAAGCAGTACATACAGTATGTGCCCTGGGATTGTGCTCCATCCTGGTAAGTGTCTACAGACAGGATCAATTCCATTATGATCAGTCAGAGTGCCTCATGAACTGTCTGCTAACCCTGCCCTATAGACACTTCTGTAGATCTGGAGGCATTGGATGGGTATGCAATATGGTAATGTATTAATATGGTACTAGTATATGGTAGCAATAAGCAATATGGTAGTAGCTCTACCTTGCCCTCTTATAGACTATATGTGGAATTGTCACCATATTTCTGATTTGGTACACAAAGTTAGGGGCTAGGGGTGGATTTGAGATGTCAGTGTTGGGCTGGCTCAGGGTTAGTCCCTCTATTGCAGCTCCCTGCCTGCCACCCCCTGCTGTCAGCTAGTGGTACTCACACCCCCTGCTGTCAGCTAGCGGTACTCACACCCCCTGCTCTAGCGGTACTCACACCCTCTGCTGTCAGCTAGCGGTACTCACACCCCCTGCTGTCAGCTAGTGGTACTCACACCCCCTGCTGTCTGCTAGTGTTACTCACACCCCCTGCTGTCAGCTAGTGGTACTCACACCCCCTGCTGTCAGCTAGTGGTACTCACACCCCCTGCTGTCAGCTAGCGGTTCTCACACCCCCTGCTGTCAGCTAGCGGTACTCACACCCCCTGCTGTCAGCTAGCGGTACTCACACCCCCTGCTGTCAGCTAGCGGTACTCACACCCCCTGTTGTCAGCTAGCGGTACTCACACCCCCTGTTGTCAGCTACCGGTACTCACACGACACTGAGCCGGAGGAACTATGGGACTGACATAATAGTGGTAAAATAGAGATAGTGGGTAGTACGGAGAAAAGGAGGAGGGGTGGGGGAGAGAGAGGATGGAGAGAAAGACAGAACAAGAGCAAGAGAGTAGAGGAGGCAGAACAAAAAGCTGAACAAGTGCCAAGAAACCATCCAGCTTCAACCAGACAAGGGGAAGTGGCCATGCATCCTTCCTTTATTATCTCTGTGGTGACTTTGTGGTTAGAGGGACTAATGTCACAGCTCATAGAGAGAGGGGGAGTGAGTGAGCTCATAGAGAGAGGGGGAGTGAGTGAGAGGGTGGGAAATTCTCTCTGATGTTAGATTAAAAGCACATGTTTCTTTTAGTTATATTTGGTACTATTGACTATGTGTTCTTTTTTTATTTTACCCATATTTTACCAGGTAAGTTGACTGAGAACACATTTTAATTTACAGCAATGACCTGGGGAATAGTTGAGGGGGGGGGGGGGGAGGGGGGATGAATGAGCTGTGTGGCCCTGTAATAGAGAGGGTATTGGCAAAAAAGGTATTCTAAGCTGCCTGTCCATTCTCAGATATCCGGGTCATTTGAGTTAGAATGACTGGCACCTGATACAGACACGCTATCACCTTACACACACACACAAAGTTATCTTTCCAGACTTATCTCAGAGCATCCTGTGAATGATGGCCTGTACTCTGCAGATAAACCGCCCTGTGTGTCCCTGTGCATGAAACTGTGTGTGTGTGTGTACCTGTGTATCTTCGTGTGTGTGTGCAGCCTGTGTATCTTTGTGTGTGTGTGCAGCCTGTGTATCTTTGTGTGTGTGTGTGTATCTTTGTGTGTGTGTGTGTGTGTGTGTGTGTGCAGCCTGTGTATCTTCGTGTGTGTGTGTGTGCAGCCTGTGTATCTTTTTGTGTGTGTGTGTGCAGCCTGTGTATCTTTTTGTGTGTGTGTGTGTGTGTGTGCAGCTGTGTATCTTCGTGTGTGTGTGTGCAGCCTGTGTATCTTCGTGTGTGTGTGTGTGCAGCCTGTGTATCTTCGCGTGTGCAGCCTGTGCATCTTTGTGGGTGTGTGTGTGCAGCCTGTGTATCTTTGTGTGTGTGCAGCCTGTGTATATTTGTGTGTGTGTGTGTGTGTGTGCAGCCTGTGTATCTTTGTGTGTGTGTGTGTGCAGCCTGTGTATCTTTGTGTGTGTGTGTGTGCAGCCTGTGTATCTTTGTGTGTGTGTGTGTGCAGCCTGTGTATCTTCGTGTGTGTGTGCAGCCTGTGTATCTTTGTGTGTGTGGGTGTGTGTGTGCAGCCTGTATCTTTGTGTGTGTGTGTGTGCAGCCTGTGTATCTTTGTGTGTGTGTGTGTGCAGCCTGTGTATCTTTGTGTGTGTGCAGCCTGTGTATCTTCGTGTGTGTGTGTGCAGCCTTTGTATCTTTGTGTGTGTGGGTGTGTGTGTGTGCAGCCTGTGTATCTTTGTGTGTATGTGTGTGTGTGTGTGTGTGTGTGTGTGTGTGTACAGCCTGTGCTCTGCAGATAAACAACCTGCTGAGGAGAGAAGCAGAATGAGTCTCACTCACTGACTACTGATGGGATGGTAGTAGAGAGAGAGAGACGCAGTGGTAGAGGAGATGTGACTGTGTTTGGCTGTTATGCTTTGTTCCCTGCAACCACTGAGCAGAGATGCATCCTGTAAAATAGCTGTCACAGGCTCTGGTTTCACTGGCACGTCATGCTTATCGGTCTATAGGTGAATCTGCATAATTTAGTGGAATTAAATTGCCGCGTGTGTATTTTTGTTAGTCGTCATGTATCTTATTTATCACACAGCTTACAGAGCCTATTATGAGCGGAATATCATCTCAGCGCTAGAGCTGCTGCTGCAGATCCTCAGCTGTTGATGCTGGAGTGAAATGTGCTTTCATTGCGCAACAATTCTAAATACAATCGCGTGTACCGCGTGTTAAAAACTGTTTTGATGGCCATGATTAAGAAGAGCTACTATTTTTATTTCTCAACTGGTAATTGAAGCGCATCTCCCATTCACCATTCAAGTGCATAGGCAACAGTAGGCAGGCTATCAGCGCGTCACCCGCCACTTTGCAATGTGAGCTGGAGGCAGTATGCATTTTGAAAACGGATACTTAATTGTTTGAAACCTGAATGTTTTACTTCTTATTATGAGCTACTGTATGTCTTACCTTGCTTCAAAGTAGTCTAGGGAAAATCCGACCATTGAAACGTGGAGGCAATTATTTTATAAAGACTTCCTCATATGTCATTGAAACCATTTCTCTCCTATTCTATTGGTTTTCATATCAACTTTCTTTCGTTGTCCAGAAGCCAAAGGTACAATCCTAGTCATATTAGCAACCCATGCTAGTCGTTGCATCTTTAGATTCCCCCTCTTTCTAAGTTTCTAATGGAGATTTTCATCTCTGTCACATATGGAACATGTGCGCTGTTTAGAATGGTGTTTTTACATTTGGGTCCATTAATTTAACAAATGGTCAGTAAATTTAAATCTTCCCGGTCACGTTGTCCGGCGCCACATTTTCCTAACGGAAACCCTGGTGCGTGCTTGTACCGGCTGAGAAGCAAAGATGTGGTTAGCTTCATCTCTCTGTAGCTCAGCACATTGGGCAAGTCCTTGCATCATAGGCTGAGCCTGCTAATAGACAAAATCACAGACACACACACACATTCGCTGCTTTACATGTCAGCCCCTTTAGATTCTGTTACTGTGTGTCTAGTGGTACACACCACAGTGTTTGGACTACTGTGTGTACTGTATTCATGTTTAAACAACAAGGAGTTAGGGATTCAGTTATTCAGACATCCTTCGCTGACTGATTTGAAGATAATGATCTCTCTCTCAGCACTAAATGTCTTTACCACAGGAATTGAATTGCTCTGTAAACAGCGTGTGTTCAATATAGTTTTGAATGCTTAAAGAGATAGTTCATCCAAAATCTATATTTGGGTCAAATTACCCTTAACTTGAGTTGTCTGAAGGCCCATGGTGACAGAATCCACAATAATCCATTATTTACTTCTGGCTACAGCCTGGAGTTAGCATCGTCAGATTTCATGAGTGGTTCCAGGAGAACCGATGTTAGCAAAGCTGCACTGCAAACCTCAACTTCCTCAAAAAGACTTCAAACTAAGTTCGGTAGTTGGTGGAGTTAGAAGGGATTTTTTTACGTGAATACTGCTGAAATAATTGCTGGAATTTGGTTACTCAGAACTGGAGCTATTTCCTCATGTAGCCACAGCACACAGCATCTCTATGTGTCTTCCAGTGATGGCGCCATCCGCCTGGTGAAGGCACTTCAACGTGGATCGCTTTCCAGACCGGTAAACATAGGAAATATAAGAGCATTTGAAAATTATAATTTTATTGGAAAAATAACAACAGTCTCGCAGTGAGGAAAACATGGACAGGTTCTTCACGAGTATCAATGATACCAAACTTAGTTTGAAGTGTTTTTGAGGAAGTTTTGGTTTGCAGTGCAGCTTTGCTAACATCCGTTTGTCTGGAACCACTGATTAAATCTGACGATGCTAACTCCAGATAAGGGTAATTTTACCCAAATATCGATTTTGGATAAACTATCCCTTTAACTACCAACAGACAGTTCATAGTAGACTTGAATATAAGCTGTTGTCCCCTACTGTATGTTGATGTTGCTCCATAAAGACCAGCTGTACTGTATGTTCCAATAGTATGAGTCCTGATCTCTGTCTTCTTTATGTTTCTCTCTTCAGACCTATGAGAGACCCTTCAGAGCAGCAGAACCTAGAGAGGGGGGGCTACTGCAACTACTGGGGGATGTCACCCCCCCCAAACACCAGCCCAAGCCCTCTATCCTACACACCACACCACTGCCCCCACACACACTCACACACCAACCCCAACAGCAACACACACAGCCACCAAAACTCACACACCAACATACACACAGTCCAGCCTGGGCCACGCCTCCCTCCGCATCTCCAGCCAATCCAGTGCATGCTGAGCCTAGCAGAGAACCAGCGGGAGCCAATAGGAGCCCTCTCTCTGACCTGGCCCCTTCCTTCCTCAAGCCTCCAATGAAGAGCGTCCCAGGAAGCCCCTCCCCTCGCTCTTATAGCCCCTCCCCCCATCGACACCTGAGCCCTGATCCCGTGTTGCCCGTAGTAACGGACGCTAGCATTCTAAACCTGACCTCTCTCTCCAGAGGGCGGGGCTTACAGGAGGTCAGTGAGCAGCTGTTTGGAAACATCAAGAGGAAGTACGGCAGGAAGGACCCCCAGAGGACTCAGGGTAATACCCACAATGCAGAGCTGCCATTGGGGAGGAGGGCAGAGAAAGATGCGGAGAGTCCAATAGTTCCAGATGAAAGGCAGAAGTACAGGAGGGAGGAGACCCCTGAGTTGGAGAGAGAAGAGAAGGAGAGCATAGGGAGGACAGGAGAGGAGGAGGAGGAGATGGAGAGGGAGATGCCAACGCTTGGTGCTCCTGTGCTGATGGAGGAGGGAAAAGGGAGGAAGAGGAGGAGGAGGCGGTCTCTCCAGGAGTCACTCACCCAGGAGGACCAATCGGAGCAGCAGCAGGGCACTGACATCACAGAGAGGAATGAATCAGGGCCTCCGGAGCCCAAAGTGTCCCACAAAATGCAAGGTCACAAGATGGACTCATACAGGAGTGAGTCTAGGTCAGGTCGGGGTGGGGAGGGTAGCCAGCCAGAGGCAGACGGGGACAGAGGAGAGAATGGGGAGAAAGGAGAAAGAGCAGAGAAGGAAGAGAGAACAGCGAGAGGAGACAAAGGAGAGAGAACAGGGAGAGGAGAGAGAACAGGGAGAGGAGAGAGAACAGGGAGAGGAGAGAGAGAGAACAGAGAGAGGAGAGAGAACAGAGAGGGGGATGAGTGGGGCCGACATGGAATCAGCCATGATCCAGAGCCGGGTGAGGAAAAACCCAGTTGGCCGTCCTAGATCATCCACAGACTCCCACAAACACCCTGACCCTAACCCCAGACTGCCTAGCCCTAACCTCAACCATATCCCTAGTCCAAGATCCAGCCTCAACCCTAACCCTAGACCGCCCAACCTATGCCCCAGCCTTAACCCTAACCCCAACACCAGCCCAAAACCCAGCCCTTACCCCAGACCCCCCAAGACCAAGGACCGGTGGTCCTACCTCAAGTCCCGAAGCTCCCCCAGCCTGATCCAGAGGGAGAGTGGCCACAGTCCCCTGACAGCCATGTCTGAGCCCCCCTCTGCATTCCCCATCACCCCCTCCAGCCCTCTGTACACCAACACAGACAGTCTGACTGTCCACACCCCCGCCAAGCGCAAACGAGGTCGTCCCAAAAAACAACCCCTGCTCACTGTGGAAACCATCCATGAGGGTACTTCCACCTCCCCCCTGAGCCCTCTGGCCCGGGACAGCCCCGCGGGGCTCAGCCGCAGGAAGAAGACTCACGCGCTAACCACACTAGCCCAAATCGCATCTGGTTCCACTAGCCCCAATGCTAATGGGTTGAAACTGAAGCGCAGTGAGAGTGGCCATGTCAGGTCGGTGAAGAGGCTGAAGCTGGGGAATGTGCAGAGCATCCTGAATGAGATCCTATCAGGCTCCAGCCAACATGGCAGCCTGGCGCTGAAGTCCGCCTCGGCTCCCGTCTCTTCCACCATGACGGCCATGGCCTCTACCATTGAGGCGCATCTGGGGAAGCAGATCAACGTCAGTAAGAGAGGAACCATCTATATCGGGAAGAAGAGAGGGAGGAAGCCACGCTCCGACACCCAAACCCTTCCCCACAGAGGCGGGGCCAAGCCTCTTTTGCCTGTCCCCATGTCCAGCCTGTACAACAGCCTCCTAGTGCCTTCCACCCTCCCTCCCAGCTCCACTACCCTCCTCCTCAGACCCAGTCACACCCTATCCTCTCTGTGCCCCCCCGGCCCTCGCGGCACCTACTCTGACGCCACCATGCCCAGCCTGCAGCCCATCAGTACCCTGCCCTCTAAACCCCCAGGCAGGGGGCTACTGGGGGCCGGCTGGAAGCTGTCTCCCCCGCGCCTCCTGGCCAACTCCCCGTCCCACCTATCTGAGGGGGCAGCGTCCGTCAAGGAGGTGACGCTGTCACCCATCAGCGAATCACACAGCGAGGAGACCATTCCCAGCGACAGCGGCATAGGAACGGACAACAACAGCACCTCTGACCAGACAGAGAAGGGAACTAACGCACGACGCAGGTATCTATCTCTCTATGAGTGAGTGAGTGAGTGAGTGACTGAGTGACTGAGTGCGTGAGTGCGTGCATGCATGAGTGTGTTAGTTAGTTAGTTAGTTAGTAGTGAGTGAGTAAGTGAATGCATTAGTATGTTCATTAGTTAGTAGTAAGTGAATGAGTTAGTGAGTGTGTTAGTTAGTTAGGTAGGTAGGTAGGTAGTTAGTTAGTCGATGTTGCCCAGGGGTTTGGTTGAAACCACAATAGCAACATTGTACATCCAGTTGACAGGTTTATGTTGTGTGTTGCAGATACTCATTTGACCTGTGTGGGTTTGAGGCTGCGGAGGCTGCAGTTCTGGAGGCATCCAGTCGCGGCAGTAGGGGTCGCTGTGTGCGGCAGGCGGCAGTGGTGGACAACTTCCTGTCCCAGCAGGAGAAGAAGCAGAAACACCGCAGGAAGAGGAAGTGCCTGCAGAGCCGAGACCACCTGCACTTCCTGTCTGAGCTAGAAGAGGTATCAAATCAAACTTCCTATTAAAATCTCATCAAACTTAGTGTAGGAGTAGGATGAAGTTACCACTAGACTTATTGTATATTATGTCACAGAGATTTTAGAGGAAGGGTTCATTGTGATGTCTGGAATAGAACAAATTGAAACCCCATGTGTTTGATGTGTTTGATATCTTTCCATTCATTTCATTCCAGCCATTACAATGAGCCCATCTTCATATATTTCTATATAGGCCCACAAGTCTCCTCTGGTATTATACACTGAGTGGACAAAACATTAGGAACTCTTTCCATAACATAGACTGACCAGGTGAATCCAGGTGAAAGCTATGATCCCTTATTGATGTCACATGTTAATTTCACTTCAATCAGTGTAGATGAAGGGGAAGATTTTTAAGCCTTGAGACAATTGAGACATGGATTGTGTATGTGTGCTATTCAGAGAGTTAATGGGCAAGACAAAAGATTTAAGTGTCTTAAACGGGGTATGGTAGTAGGTACCAGAATGTTAATAAAATTGGCACAAGTAATAGCACATTTCCATGGAGGCTGCTAGCTAAATATGCTAACGAGCGCAAACAGAATTTTTTTGGTGGGGGGAAAAGACAGGCAATCCAGCTCATAAAGTTATACATATATAGGTAGCTACCGAATGTCATTTTTGGTGAGTTTGGACATTTACAAGCGAATGTGAACGAGAGACATTGTGCAAATGAACAAAGTTTTGAGGCATGCTTGTCTGAAGGAAGAACAGTACTGGCTCTGGAGCAGCATGTGTACACGCTGTGTCTGTGTGGTGTCTGGAGTCGCTAGGGCAACGGGCCTGCCTGCTCTACTCGAAGAAGGGGGGGAAGGAGCAGATGGGCCGAGAACGGAGAGGAGAAAAAACACAAGGAAATCAAGATAGCAGGCAGCTGTAAATATTTCTCAAAAGAAAGCTCACATTATATGATGCACCATCTCTTTATTAATTCAGCCACTTACTTAGATAACTAGCAAGTTAAACTAAGGGGTTGCGTTAATGCAGAATTCTGCAGTTATCATACAGAAAAAAAGAAACAACGCATAAGAAATATCTGCGTTTTGTAAACTCAGATCTAAAATGCTTCTTATTGTAATTTCTGCTCGGCATCAGACTAATTTTATGCTTCTGTTGCACTTCTCCACTCGGATAAGAATTCACAAACGGGCATTCTATTAGCAGACAGCACTCTGATGTGTAACTACTTTTCTCCAGGACATTTCTCGGTGTAGCCAACTTACTTTTCTCTGGTAAAATGCAAGATTAACTTTAAGCAAAACATTAGGAAATGTAGCTGGCTACATTCTTTCTATGATAAACATTATAAATATGATAGCCATGTATCGTTTTTGCAAAAAAATACCTTGCTTTTTCATTGTAAGCTAATTTACAAATGTGTGGCTACCACTTCTGTTGTCATCTGATGAAAATGAAGCTATTTTCTGCCGAATGTGTTGCACTAATGTATTTTCTGTGAAGTAAAACTATACAGTGAGGGGAAAAAAGTATTTGATTCCCTGCTGATTTTGTACGTTTGCCCACTGACAAAGAAATGATCAGTCTATAATTTTAATGGTAGGTTTATTTGAACAGTGAGAGACAGAATAACAACAAAAAAATCCAGAAAAACACATGTCAAAAATGTTATAAATTGATTTGCAATTTAATGAGGGAAATAAGTATTTGACCCCCTCTCAATCAAAAAGATTTCTGGCTCCCAGGTGTCTTTTATACAGGTAAAGAGCTGAGATTAGGAGCACACTCTCTTAAAGGGAGTGCTCCTAATCTCAGCTTGTTACCTGTATAAAATACACCTGTCCACAGAAGCAATCAATCAATCAGATTCCAAACTCTCCACCATGGCCAAGACCAAAGAGCTCTCCAAGGTGCATCTGAAGTTTGCCAATGAACATCAGAATGGTTCAGAGGAGAACTGGGTGAAAGTGTTGTGGTCAGATGAGACCAAAATAGAGCTCTTTGGCATCAACTCAACTCGCCGTGTTTGGAGGAGGAGGAATGCTGCCTATGACCCCAAGAACACCACCCCCACCTTCAAACATGGAGGTGGAAACATTATGCTTTGGGGGTGTTTTTCTGCTAAGGGGACAGGACAACTTCACTGCATCAAAGGGACGATGGACGGGGCCATGTACCGTCAAATCTTGGGTGAGAACCTCCTTCCCTCAGCCAGGGTATTGAAAATGGGTCGTGGATGGGTATTCCAGCATGACAATGACCCAAAACACACTGCCAAGGCAACAAAGGAGTGGCTCAAGAAGAAGCACATTAAGGTCCTGGAGTGGCCTAGCCAGTCTCCAGACCTTAATCCCATAGAAAATCTGTGGAGGGAGCTGAAGGTTTGAGTTGCCAAACGTCAGCCTAGAAACCTTAATGACTTGGAGAAGATCTGCAAAGAGGAGTGGAACAAAATCACTCCTGAGATGTGTGCAAAACGTCTGACCTCTGTGATTGCCAACAAGGGTTTTGCCACCAAGTACTAAGTCATGTTTTGCAGAGGGGTCAAATACTTATTTCCCTCATTAAAATGCAAATCAATTTATAACATTTTTGACATGCGTTTTTCTGGATTCTTTCTTGTTATTCTGTCTCTCACTGTTCAAATAAACCTACCATTAAAATTATAGACTGATCATGTCTTTGTCAGTGGGCAAAGGTACAAAATCAGCAGGGGATCAAATACTTTTTTCCCTCACTGTAGTTGCATGCCACTGATTACTCTTGAAGCAAAAAAACACTGTTGGCTTTCAATATAAAACGCGACCCATGTCAATACACAGCTGGACTCACCTGCTCCTGCTTTCTCCAGTTGTGCTATTTACAAACAATCAAACATGTCACTGGCTCAACTGTTCTGGAGAACTATGGTAAGCTTCATAATGTAAAATAATGTGACAAGTGAAATGAAGAACGCGATCTGCTTTATTTCCTAACATATTGCACAAGTTGACTGCAGGTATTTACTTAAGAAATAGCTACAAATATTAAAATGTATTGAAAAACTTCAAATAAATAGTTTAGACGGTATTGACGCTATTGTAAAACCATCACATGGCTATTTCCAAATACCACGGTATACGGTATACTGCCTAAGCCTATTATCCAGTACTGATTTAATATGACTGTATTAAATGATCCAGTACTGATGTGGCCTCCTCCTCTCCTCTGCCAGGTGGTGGTGAAGCTGCAGCAGCTACATGTGTCTCACCGACGGTACGCCTCCTGCTACCCCCAGCACCCCTACCCCTCCATCTTCCGCCTCAATTTCCACCACCACTACTACCCCCTGACCTACGACCCCTACCCCTGTGACCCCGCCCCTTACTTGCGCAGGACCGCCGAGCTCAAGGCCAAGAGGAGGCGCGGCCGGCCCGCCAAAGCCAGTGAGCCAATCACGTCCAAGCTGCCTTTTGTCCAGGGGTTTGGGTATCCACTTGCAGGGGGGAACTACTATGCACCGTATGCCATGCCTTACGCCCCGCCTCTGAGCCTGGGCTACTACCCCCCAGCACCCCCCCTCTACCTGCCCCACCATCCCCACGGCCCTTCACCACCCTCCCACTTCATGAGGCCTGCCGTCCCCCCTCCTAAGTTCCACTCTGGGGGTCACTCCAAGCTCCAGGCCGGAGCCAAGCTACGGACGTCTAGCGGCCCACTACAGGGTTCCTCTGGTCGGGGAGAAGGACTGGGATCCCTGGGCGGTGATGGTGGTGGAGGTCTTGGAGGGGTGAGGCTCCACAAGAGGAAACACAAGCACAAACACAAGCACAAGGAAGAGACCCCCCTCCTCTCACCCCATGATAGACAGGAGCTGGGTGGGCTCTTCAGTGGTGCCAAGACCAATGGGCTGCTCAACCTGTTGACTGACAGGCGGGAGATGAACAATCCGAAGCGTCAGGAGAAGCAAAGGGGGGGTGGGCGAGGCTCTAGAGGGGAGTCCAGAGGAGCGATGTTTGAGTCGGACCCTCTCTCTTCTATCTCCATGGACCATGTCCAGTTCCGCCCACGTATGCCCGGACAGCCAATGAGCAGCTTCCTGAGCAGCTACAGCAGCCAATCACAGCGGCCAGAGATGACCTCTGACCTTTTCAGATTGCGGGAGGAGGGCAGTGGGCACGGCAGAAGGAGAGGTTTAGCAGTGTTCGGAGAGGAAGGGGTGATGTCATTCCACAATGCCAGGAAAGAGAAGAGCCAGGAAACAGAAGAGTCGTTCCACAATGCCAGCCCCACTCTAACAGGTAACGACTTATTACTGACAGTCACAGGCTTATTACCATGTTATAATACAGCCCCACTCTCTCCAGATATCTGATTGTTCAGATTTAGCTCCAAATATATTTTTGTACCGATGCACTGCATGTATTAATTCCAGTCCCTATAGTGAAAACAACATCAGTAATTCCTTCTTCTTCATAATTTTAATGTAATACTTTTTTTTTTACATAAACGGTATATATTTATGATATGGATAGCATATAAGATTTCTTCCCAGTTTTCAGAGCAGACAGGTGAACATGTGTAAGCCTATAGCAGACAACGAGGCAGTCAGCTCCTAAAACACTAAATACTGAACAAATGTGTTTTTGGTACATTCTGTATTCTGAGTGCAGCGAGCACATCTGGCCAGAGAGAGAGAGAATGAAACGCATGGCTGGAAAGGACTATAATTCACCAATCTCTCCCTCCCTCCATCCATTCCTCCCAGCCTGCCAATGGTTGGTCCCAGAGATATATGATTCTCAGGTTGTGATTTATATTCTCCAGACAGGCAGTAAAAGGCAGTGGCTGTGTTAACAGAGCTGGCCACCAGCCAGGGCTTTAATGAGTGGGGCCTAGTCCAGTGGAGGGGGAGAGAAGCCAGGGGCTCACTTAGATTACATCCCCCTACCCGGGGGACCTGCGGGGGTTGACTCACACACACTACCCCCTCGCCCTAATCCCCCTTTTTCCCCCCTTTTTTCTCTCTCCCTTCCTCCATCTCTCCTTCTGCTCTAGACAGGTTATACCCCTTATTTTTCTCTATTCCCTCACGTCACTCTCTCCTCTCCCTGTACCCTATCTTTTCACCTCTACTCCCTCTCTCTCACTACACTCTCCCCTCTACTATACTCTCTTTCCTGTCTCCCTCTCTCTCCTCCCTCTCTCCTCTCTTCACTCCCTCGCTCCTCTCTTCACTCCCTCTTCCCTCTCTTCACTCCTCCTTCACTCCCTCTATCTCCTCACTCTCATCTCTCTCCTCTCTCTCTCATCTCTTCTCTCTTAACTCCCTCTCTCTCTCACTCTCCTCTCTCTCCTCTCCCTCCCTCTCTCTCCCTCTCTTCACTCTCTCTCCTCCCTCTCTCTCCTATCTTCAATCTCCCTCTCCGTCTCCTCTCCTCCTCATCTCTCCTTCACTTCACTTCCCTCTCTCCTCTCTCCTCCCTCTCTTCTCACTCTACCAGCATGACTTACTGCTATGCTCCACAGGCCAGCCCGAGCCCAATTAAAACACACACACGTGCACTTACACTCTCTGGCATACACACACACTCTGATCTAAAATTCATATTATTCTCCACTCTTGTGTGATTGAATGTGTTTCTAAATAATTTCCTCCCTGTGATTGGGTGTTTATCTGAACCTGATTTGAACTGTGTGTGTTTGTGCTCCCACTAATCAGCAGGTTCCACTGCAGCTGACAGCAATCTCACAAAATCATTTGTATAAAAGCAGGTCATCCTTTTTGCAGAGTTAATGAGAGTGATGTTCTCTGCGCGTGCACACACACGCACACGCACACACACACACGCACACACACACACACACATGCACACACACACACACACACACACACACACACACACACACACCACACACACACACACACACACACACACACACAAACACAAACACAAACACAAACACACAAACACAAACACACAATAGAATCCTTCCTCCTGCAGTTGGCTGAATGCTCTGGATAGCAGTGTACCTTAAACACAGATCTAGGATCAGCTTACCATAGCCAAATCTTAACCAATAGGGTGAAGGACACAAAACAGAACTGCCCTCAGATCAGATCAGCCACAGAGCTATAGACACTGAAGAACTGCTGAAGGTCATAATTTTTATGATGCATATATGCAGCTCATACATTTCTGCTACTTAGTGTGTGTGTACGTGTGTGTGTCTGTGTGTCCGCACCTCATAAATTGCTGCTACTCAGTGCTTAGTGTATTAGACTAATGACTCTTTGTCTCAGTAGAAGAGAGGCTATGGACAGGAGGCTTTATTATACGGACACTAAATGCTTTATTCTCATCACATCTTTCATATCTATAAACACTCAATCATGATCATAATATGATGAAGATCTCAAAACCTTTGGGCAAGTTTACAATTTTAGAGTCAGGAGTAAACAGTTTGTCTTTTGAAATCATCAGCAAGCATTTGATAGCTTGGAATACCGATGATGGACAGATTATGAATGAATTTGTGTCATACTTCCTGTTGTCTTTCAAGTAATATTATACTATTCACATTTATATTGGTCTATCTAGCACATTAATTGTTAGTTAGGACTGTGTTAGTACTGTTACATTGTCATATCTTAGAACACTTCTGAGGAAAACCCAGAGATACTGAAGAACCACAGTGAATATAAGAGCGAGAGAGGGAGAGGAGGATGGCGAGAGCAGGGAGGATAGAGAGAGGGAGAGAGCAGGGAGGATAGAGAGAGGGAGAGAGCAGGGAGGATAGAGAGAGGGAGAGAGCAGGGAGGATAGAGAGAGAGGGAGAGAGCAGGGAGGATAGAGAGAGGGAGATGGCAGGGAGGATAGAGAGAAGTGAGGATAGAGAGAGGGAGAGAGCAGGGAGGATGAGGAGGGAGGATGAGAAGGGGCAGGGAGGATAGAGAGGGAGAGAGCAGGGAGGATAGAGAGCAGGGAGGATAGAGAGAGGGAGAGAGCAGGGAGGATAGAGAGAGGGAGAGAGCAGGGAGGATAGAGAGCAGGAGGAAGAGAGAGAGGGAGAGAGCAGGGAGGATAGAGAGGGAGAGAGCAGGAGGATTAAAGAGTGAGAGAGCAGGGAGGAATAGAGCAGGGAAAGAGCAGGTGAGATAGAGAGCAGGGAGTATAGAGAGTCAGGGATGATAAGAGAGGGAGAGAGCAAGGAGGATGAAAGGAGGGAGGTAGAGAGAGGGAAGAGCAGGAAAGAGTAGTAGAAGCAGGGAGGATAGAGAGAGGGAGGATAGAGAGAGGGAGGGAGTTCAGGATGATAGGAGGGGAGAGAGGATGAAGGATAGGATAGAGAGGGGATTAGAAGAGGATGATGATAGGGAGAGCAGGGAGATAAAGAGAGGAGGAGAAAGCAGGGAGGATAGAGAAGGAGAGGGGGAGAGATAGGAGAGAAAGCATAGAGGAGGAGAGATCAGGGATAGGGAGAAAGCAGGCAGTTGGATGAGAGCAAGGGATAAGCAGGGACATGGCGGGCAGGGAGGAAGAGAAAAGCAGGGCGGATAGAGAGGGGAGAGCCGATAGTGAGGGAGAGACAGGGAGAGAAAGGGATAGAGAGAGCAGGAGGATGATAGAGGCAGGCGTGATTAGATTGCGAAGGAGGAAAGCAGAGTATGCGACCAGGGAGTGATCTGGAGTTTAGAGCAGGAGGATTGGGAGAGAGCAGGGGGATAGAGCGAGGGGAGAGCAGGGAGATAGAGAGAGGGAGAGAGCAGGGAGGATAGAGACCAGGGAGGATAGAGAGAGGGAAAGAGGAGATAGACAGGGAGGATACTTAAAAGGGAGATAGAGATGGACATGCATAGAGAGAAGATATAGAGAGCAGATATAGATCGAGAGGAGCAGATTTATGAGAGCAGGGAGGCTGAGTCTGGGATGATATAGCAGGGATGGATTATAGAGAGGGAGATAGCAGGAGTGATCATCGAGAGAGGCAAGGATCTAGAGAGAGTCTTATAGAGAAGAGTGAGAGAGAAATCAAGAGACGGGGAATGGAGGGAGAGAGAACGAGGGGAATGGAGGACAGGCAAAAGGCACATTAAAGGCGGCTGGTTTGGGCCTGTTTTGTCTGATTGTGCTTTTCCTCCATTTTGGCTTTGGTCCAGTCTGGGAACATAGCCCAGAGAGAAGGGGGGAGGGAGGGAGAGTGATGTGTGTATGAAGGGCAGGGTGCCCAGTTTACCAGCATGAAGGAAACAATATGGTTCCAGTTTCCTCTGCTCAGCCACTCTTATGCTGTGTGTGTGTGTGTGTGTGTTTGTTTGCTGTGCGTTTGTGTGAATATGTGTGGTGCGTGTGTCTGGCCTGTCTGTGCTCCAGATGCGTAGAAACACTATTGTGTAGAGACACATTTAATGGTTGAAGGAGACATTTCTGTGGATTTCCTGCTAGCAGAATGGAAGCTCCACACTCAATTCAGTTCAATTCAAAGGGGCTTTATTGGCCTGGGAAACGTCTCTCTCTCCATCACTCGCTCTCCTCTCCGCTCTTTAGCACAGTATGGAATCTCTACTTCTATCTCAGCTGCAATGCAGGCCTGAATATGGTGGAAATTAGCAGGAAGCAGCTCAAACAAAAACAGTGTTTCTGTCAATGAGCAAAATGTGCGTATGTCTCATCCAATTTTTGCATTCAGGCCAATTCTTTCTTGCTGACATTGTCTTGTGAACCCCTCTGATTTTGCCTTAGTTTCATTGTCATATCAAATAGCTTGTTAAATGGTGTCTTGTAAAATCCCCCCTCTCTCTTTCTCCTTCCTCTTCTCCATCTGTTAAGTCAATGAGCTTTATTGCCATCTTCATTCAGTATCTTACATTGCCCAAGCGCGATCACATAACTCTTTCTCTCTCTCTCCTCTCTCCTCTGTCTCTCTCTCCTCTCTCTCTCTCTCTCTCTTCCTCTGTCTCTCCTCTCTGTCTCTCTCTCTCTCCTCTCTCTCCTCTGTCTCTCCTCTCTGTCTCTCTCTCTCCTCTTCTCTCTCTCTCTCTCTCTCTCTCTCTCTCTCTCTCTCTCTCTCTCTCTCTCTCAGGTAAGAGGAGGTATAAGCGTCATGAGGTGGAACAGATCCACGGTGAGGTCAGGAGGATGTGTTCTCTCAACAACGTGCTCAACAGTCAGAGGAGTTTTGAGCATGTGCAGAAGATCCTGCGTGTGAAGCGTCTCCAGCGCCAGGCCAAGACTGGCAACAACGTCGTCAAGAGGCGACCTGGTCGCCCCCGGAAACACCCTATTGATGAATCTGAACCCAACAATTATGGGAGGGAAGAAGGAAGGGGCTTCGGGATGCCGGTGCTGGAGAGGTGTGTGGACCTACCGGGTAGGCGGAGCTTAAGACCAAGTCCCGTCCCCCAGCCTCTGGAGTTTTCCAATCACGACTCTATCTCAGTGGCCATTGAGACAGTGGTGCACCGAGCACGCTCTCTGGCTCCCCCACCGGTCAGAGGAAGGAAATGCAGGGGGAGGCGCAGGAGAGAGGAGGGAGGGGATATGGCCTTCCACTAGCCAATCAGACGGCAGGACAGTTGCAGATACAGATTAGCTCTGGCCTATCAGAGAGCTGGTGAGAGGAGCCATCACTGGCCAAATGCTGCGTTCATAACCAAGTGGGAAGGTAGTATTTACCACATACGACTGGAAAAAATCCACATGAACGCCTCTCCAACTGGTAATTACTAGTGGGAAACGGGACTATCATCCCTGAGCTCTGACTTCAACCACATGCTGACCTCTGACGTCACCTAATAAGGAAATGACCTCGATAACAGCATTTTCGGCAGATAAATGCAACAACAAAACATTATTTATAAAAAGCTATCTATTAATATGGTTTTTGAACACTATCATTTGTTTACAAGCATGATAGCGGTACTTTTAGTTTATGGTTAACGAAGCTTGTTGGCCATTAGCCAATCAGCGTTTCTCAACGAGTTCAAAGCATGTGAATGCATCCAATTACCACTTCACAACTGGGTAATTACCACCTTCCCACTTGGTGATGAACATAGCAATAGCAGCCAAACAGACAGCAATGCTGGGACCACCTCTGTGCACTTTGACCTATTGACCTGTCTGTTTCTCTTCTATGATTGGACGTAAGGAGAGTGACTGCAGTAGGTCTCTATGAAGGAACATTAGGAGAGGAGTAGTGTTGCACTCTGAATGAGAGTGCCGCTGAGGACGGACAGTGACTCTTATCATACATGTATGTGATACAATGATGCGTACGGTCCTATAATATGATACTGTATGGTACTTTATCCTACAATATCTGATATATATGGCACTCTTTGATAAGGTACTGTATGATACTATGGTACTATACGGTATGAAATACTATGGTACTTTATGATACTCTTTATCTGAATGTGGCATTAGCCATGTCTTTACCAGCAGATTGGGGGTGGTGATTGGTTAATATGATACTGTGCAGCTCTGATGATTTTTGCCTTCTCTAATGAAGCTAGTTAAAGACCACCTTACTTACCCCTCTCACCCTTTGTCCCTCACCCTTCAGACCCACAGGATCTAAGACCAGTAACTCACCCTACCCACTAACCCCTGTCCTCACCCCTAGCCCTTCTCCACCTGCCCTGTCCTGGGCAGAGGTACTTTAAAGGCAATATGTTGGACTGAGCTTCTCTGGCTGTAGGTCTCTACAGCTATGGTCTGGCTGTAGGTCTCTACAGCTATGGTCTGGCTGTAGGTCTCTACAGCTATGGTCTGGCTGTAGGTCTCTACAGCTATGGTCTGGCTGTAGGTCTCTACAGCTATGGTCTGGCTGTAGGTCTCTACAGCTATGGTCTGGCTGTAGGTCTCTACAGCTATGGTCTGGCTGTAGGTCTCTACAGCTATGGTCTGGCTGTAGGTCTCTACAGCTATGGTCTAACTGTACATAGGAACATACTCCACTTTCACCCACCTTTTACTCCTGGGAATACAGCCCCTCTACATGTACTGGCTTATATCATATAGAAGTGTTGTACAATAGACCATAAACGTTGGGATTGTTGTTTTATAACCAAAAATAGACCTGGATGTGACTCAAGACCTGTTTGTTTTCAGACTGAAAGAACCACATGTATTCATTCATTTATTTTGTGTATGAGAAGGCCATCACATACATGGGAATATCAGGCGTGTTTGACGAAACCTTGGTTTTAATGCACTATATAAACATTCACTTACATTTAATCAAAGTCAGCACTTACATGCTTGTTCTAGCCTTATGTTTTGGCATTGACTTCAATGGTGAATATCCATTCAGAAACGTGCATTAATTTAATCAATTTGAATATGCAGGACACTCAGCCAATGGCGTCAAACCTAAGCCCAAGCCTGAGACTTGATTGGACAGTGAAGCTGGAGGAGGGCTAATGATCAGCATTTGTAGTGAGTGTGTGGTACTCTGATGATTCTGTCTGAGTAATGGTAGAAAAATAACATAACACAAAATTAAGTATTGGAATAGGAAAAACAAAGTCTCAAAAATATGTGTGTTTCACAGACTTGTCAGGTGTGGGGTTGTCGGCATTATCAATCTGCAGCTAAACACACTAGCTAGCAATCATCTCTTCAGTATTTCAGAAAATACCAGTGGGTCAGTATTTCATTGGGACCTGTGTCTAATGTAAACTTGGGAAGCCTCTCCTCTCTCTGTGAGGGTATTGTCAGCTCCAGCAGTTCTGCACGTGCCTTATGTTTGTTTCTTAAACCATCACATCTCATTTTGGGGGAATTCAAAATGGCGGAGAAGTTACTGAGATTGAAACCACGTACTTATGATTGTGCATTTATGACACGTGTGTCTTAGCCACCACAACACGGGCACTACCTGTGTCCCTTTGCAGCCATACGTACAACAGGCCTGATTCCATTTCAGTTCCAAGCCCCTTGTGCTCACCCTGGCTCTTTGGAGTGAACAGATGTGAAAAGGCTTGGTTGAGCACTATGGGAAAGAAAGGTGGATCCATCACCATGTTGCATACACTATTACACACATCCAGTCCTTTCATGTCTGAGCGCTGCCAGGAAAAGGGGCCCTGAACTTAAATGGAACCAGGCCCCGGGCTGTGGACAGGCTGTGCCAGGGGAGTTGTATTGGGAGCCATGCTGTCTTATGTAGTTGTTTGCTATGCATCAGGTCTGGCCTGGGCTGTCTGAGGAATCCACCCTTCCACAAAGACAAATAAGTGTCTTATTTACCCAATAAAACATGAAGTCATGTAACCAGAAGTGTGAATAATATCAGTAATAATTTGTAAAGTGTTGTGCAGAAAGTGACTATCATTTCATGTCAACTTTAGTGACTGCAGCTCCCTGCAGTGCTGCCTTAATCAGAAGTGAAGCTCCAGTACTGAAGTGTTTGTCTGTTGTAAATAGTGTCTGTTCTGTTGTGTTCTGCCTGCATGGATACAATCTGGGCTCAGTTATGTACGCTGGGATAGCCTAAACCTAAACCCATCTTAGACCACATTTTACATTAGAACCAGCAAGACCCCATAAGTCAGTCTATCCATCCATCAATTAGAACATTCATAGCAAGGTTGAGATCCCAGGGCCTGTGTTAGTGACTCTCATTGCACTTCAGCCAAGACCATGAACCCTCATTGGCTAGCAGCTATACTCCCCTGAGCCAATGGGTACCTAGTGCAGCAGTGTGTGTGGGACATGCTCAGAGGGCATTACCAAAAATACACCTGTCCTTGTCAGTGTGTGTGTCAGCTCACACACTGCGCAGAGACTGAGCCTGAACTGGATCTCCTAACCAAACTACACCTTTCACAGGAGACCTGGATCTCTCTAAACCTGTCTAGGGTCTGAGTGTGGTCTAGTTGTAGTCTAGGTTTGGTCTAAGGGGTCTAGATGTAGTCTAGGTTTTGTCTAAGGGGTCTAGGTTTGGTCTAAGGGGTCTAGATGTAGTCTAGGTTTGGTCTAAGGGGTCTAGAGGTAGTCTAGGTTTGGTCTAAGGGGTCTAGATGTAGTCTAGGTTTGGTCTAAGGGGTCTAGATGTAGTCTAGGTTTTGTCTAAGGGGTCTAGGTTTGGTCTAAGGGGTCTAGATGTAGTCTAGGTTTGGTCTAAGGGGTCTAGATGTAGTCTAGGTTTTGTCTAAGGGGTCTAGGTTTGGTCTAAGGGGTCTAGATGTAGTCTAGGTTTGGTCTAAGGGGTCTAGAGGTAGTCTAGGTTTGGTCTAAGGGGTCTAGATGTAGTCTAGGTTTGGTCTAAGGGCTCTAGATGTAGTCTAGGTTTGGTCTAAGGGGTCTAGATGTGGTCTAGGTTTGGTCTAAGGGGTCTAGATGTGGCCTAGGTTTGGTCTAAGGGGTCTAGATGTGGTCTAGGTGTGGTTTAAGTGGTCTATAGACTTCAGGCTTGGATGCTCAATATTCCATGGTCGGTCTCTGATGTTTGAGTTAAAGCCACTAGGATCTGTCTGTTTCTCTCTCTACCAGCCGATGTTCCGGTGCCTTCTACAGCTGACTCCTGATCCTCTGCTTTAACTCTACATGAGACCCACCGCGTGGTCCAGTACGGTCCCGTACGGTCAAGTTGGGTTTTACGGTCCTTGTTATGTACTGGATGCTGTATTCACTCTGATCCAACTGTATGACTGGTATGACTCCAGGTAGAAGTTTACCCAACCCTAAATCCCAATCTTCATCATCAGGGGGATGAAGGAACATCTGGTTCTGGATCAGTGGTTAGGGAAGACTTCTACCTCTACACTGAGACCAGTCTGACCGGTCCAATACAGCCACTGGAGCAGAATCATACCGCATGCGTCTCAAATCACACCCTACGTAGTGTACTACTACAGAACCTGTTCAAAAGCAGTGCACTATATGGAGAATATGGAGTCATTTGAGAAGCAGCCACAGTCTCTACTAATATGTGTAGTCATTAACATATATGTTATGTTTCCAAGCTTTAATGTTGTTCAACGCTGAACATGCAGATGAAGCATCGATGAGGAAACCAATAAATGTACTTTGCAAGAGCACAAAATTAGCTCTTAACTGTGTTGGCATAATTTAGTTTGTATACATTGTGTATTTGAACCTTTTTACTAGAGTGGGTTTTCCTTAATTTGCATGCTCGACTTGATTGTATGCATAAAGATTTTAGACAAGCGGAGAAGTTGACTTTCAGTTGCATTTGGAGCAAGACTTGTACATTGTTTGATATGTTTGTTTTTGTAATGGATTTTTAATTCATAAAGCATTTTTGTACATTGTATGAATATTAAAAATGGCAAATATTTGACATATAGAAATAAGTAAATACTTAGATGCTCATGCATATGCATATATCCTTAGTATGTATGTGTAAATGTACACATATTTTGTATTTGCCTTCGCTCATATACAGATATGTCATATGCAGATATACATGCAATATGCTGTATATGTATAGCCATGTCTGCTGGCATGCATCTGGTCATGTTTACCTATCATGATCTTGTAGTTTTTATTTTCATTTTGTTCTCTTTTCTCTGAGGAAAAGCTTG